TAAAATGAGATCACTGCATGAAATTATTTAATCTGTGAGCAATCAAGACAAACTAATCCATTAATCACTCTTGTGTTTACATGCTTCTATAGATGCAGATAACTACAAAGGGAAACACTACTGACACAATGTGGGGCTGAAATTAAAGCAGATTACAGTCAGCAACAACAACATAGAAGGCTGTTTTTAAAAAGGAATAAATAATTACTGCCACCTAATTTTTTGTTTTTATTATGGCACAGATATATACCATTCATATCTATTAGTTCCAATGGCTGTGAATGGCTCCTTACCCTTTTTCTCACTAGAACAGGGTCTCTCAAATATTATACTGAAGCAAAATATTCAACACTAGAATTTTACAATTGAAATGCACTTACCTATCTTACTTCTTGATGTTAGGAACCACATTCTCACCTTAACCTGCTATAAATTTTGTTCCAAACAATTGCTCCTGGCAGTATACCTACAACAAGCATTTTATGACCACACTGGGGGCAATATTGACCCAGTGTTTATGAATCTCTGCGCTGCCTTCAAACATTATTCTAGACTAGTGAGGACCACTTAGCGGAAAAGGTGCACACAATCAACCTCACTCACATTTAGATCATTTAGATCAGGGTGGAGAACCCAAGGCATCCCAATGTTCTGAACTACAATTCCCATCATCCATGACCATTGGCCATACAGGATGGAGTTGATGGAAGTTGGATTCCAACAACACCTGGAGGGTTCCAGGCTCCTCACCGCTGAGTTAGCTCCCACTCCTGGTCCTGTAGACAAAGGTTTCTACAAGAAGCACCTTCAATAGCACCATTACTAGAAGCTCACTGATCATGTAAGGAGACCTTCTCTTAATGGCTTTGTATTTGAAGCCTCATAGTAACTCAGATGACCTCATTAATTAACACTGAATTTGAGGGTAGGGTTTGTGTTCTTTCCTCACTGTCTTATTATCCCAGCTGATTAGGGGAGAGTTCATGGAAAGCAGCTGTTTTATTGAAATTACGTTTTTCTGTGATAGAAGAAACAGATGTTCAGTTCTTTCATCTTCTAAAACCAGTGCCTTAATCTCGGGATTCTTGCAGGCTTTAGTAGGCTTCATGCACACTATTATGAGCAAGGACCTCCAATTCATAGGCTCACACAGAGAACAAATGTTTGGTGCCAGTTTGTGGGGCCCAGGAGTAAGTTTACAAGAGGGGCCTGATTTTTAAAAGCTTGAGAATCACTGTGCATATGATAATCAGAACAAACCAGGAACAATTTGAAAGTGACAATGAGCAGCTGATGCTATCAAGAACAAAAATCATAGCACTTGTGCTACAGCTTTGATGATGCTTTCTCTAGTTTATGAAACATCTGAAACCTGTATTTTCAACTTCCAGCAGAGGGCCTGCAAGCTCCCTGCTTTCAGCTCGTCCAACAACACACAGCATGTCCAGTTGTCACACTACCTGGAGTAGTATCCTGTCGTTAACCATAGGGGGGCTGGGATGGAGGATCTAAAATTGGCAAAAACAACACTGCCTACAATGGCTGCCATATATCTGGATTTTCCTAGAAATCTAGCCGATTTCTGCCTGGACACTGCTTGCGGCCACAGTAATCCATATGTGTCCAGGTAATTCTAGATGGATGGCAGCCCATTAAACTCTGGGATTAGATCCCTAATTTCTATTTAGGCTTATAACACCTCAGAAGTGTGTACAGACTTATTAACTGAAGTTCAGAACATTCCTGTGTTACTCAGAAAAGAAGAATATTCTATTCCTGGCAAAAACACTCCAGGAGGGTGTAAGGTTCAGGAGGGTGCGCCACCTAGAGAGAGTCCTGAGTGCCAAAGAGATGCCTCGAGGGCAACATGTGGCCCACAGGCCTCTGATTTCATACCCCTGGTCTAAATATTTGTATATCTGAAATACACAGTGGCTAATGAAATATAACTGGAGAAGGAACTGGCAAACCACTCCAGTATTTTGCCAAGAAAACTCCATGGACATAAAAAATGAGAAGCTTTGAGAAGAAAGTGAGAGTTTCCAAAGGCATGCTCTGGTTCATGGGGTCACGGAGAGTCGAACATGGCTAAGATGACTAAACAACAAACAACAATGATACATACATTTTGAACTGCAGTGAGATAGGATCAGATGTGCCTCTATATGCTGAAAAGGCATGAGTGAGGTGGCCGTAGCCAGCCACCCTGCCAACACAACCACAGGTTAAATGTGTGGTAACGAGGAAAAGGGGCCGTGCACATGTACATCAGGGTGCACTCAAGTGAACAAGCATACCCCACAGTGCTGGGTTAAACCCTGTGGAGGGCCCTAGGCAGTCAAAATCTTGGCCTCCCCCTTGCAAGTTATCTCAAAGCTTTCACTCAGCTACTCATGAATATTCTACTAGGATCTGGCGTCCGTGGGAACGTGCGACACACAGAAAGCTTCTTATCTGGATGTTTCTCGTGTGCACACTCCAGTGCAATAACACTGAACTAAGAAAGATTTATTGTAATTTTCTTTCAAGATCAAATCAATAATATTTTGATCCGTTGTTGCAGGGCCCCTAGAAGGCATGGGCCCATAGGCCGGTGCCTACTCTGCCTATTTGGTAATCCAGCACTGATACCCTGCCCCCATTTATTGCCCTACTTCCCACTGAACCCTGTGTAATATAACAATTACAAGTGGCTAATTCCAATAATCACTTTCTAGTCCCTAGTTCCCCATCATGAAGCAGAAATGCTTCTGCCACCATTTTTCAGAAAAATGTCCACTTTTCTTTGCAACAAGTTCCTTGAAATGTTGCCTAGAAGGCTCTAATAATGAGGAAGCAGCTTTTGTCCAGTTTATTTCCTTCCTAATCCATTTATGTCTATGTGCCATGAAGGAAACGAGCCTGTGCTGGGCAATTATTTTGGAGAAGAAAACACAGAAACAGCTCTTTGCTCCACTGAGCCCTGTGCCAGGGAGTCCTAAAGAGGTCAGACCTTGACTCAGAGAGGAAGTTTGCTGCAGGCAGATAGATTGGCGGAACAGAAGAGAGCTTGATGGGATGGGGCGTGCTGCAAAGGAACTTCCTGACTCTTGTTTCCCCCCCGCCCCTAACTAAAAGTTTTATGCTATTTCTAGCTGTTCCAAAATCCAATGACAGAAGAAACAAATCACCACAGTGGGAGGAATCTTTAATCACAGCACCCTTACCCAGCAGATGCTGGTAAGCTGATCTGTATGAAGTGGGAGGTCAATGCTATTTGGTGGTTCTGAACGCCAATTCAAGACATGCTGAGATGCTTTCCTTGCCTTGACATTGCCCATCACAGTGTTATATCTGCTTGTCTGTCACAATTGTAAAAAATCTATCTATCATCTATCTATCTATCATCTATCATCTATCATCTATCATCTATCATCTATCATCTATCATCTATCTATCTATCTATCTATCTATACCACATAAAACATTAAGCATTATGCTACACCTGCTACTTCAGATGAACATTACGGTGAGCAAAATTGGAACAGGAGTTATCCAGTGTCCAAGGTAATGGATCTGTGCTGCAGTAAGAGCATTCAAAAGTGCCCACCCTTTTATGTAGGTAGTCAAGTACATATATTAGCAGTGTTCAGCTTCAAAGTTCTTTGGGGAACTTATCATGCTACTCAGATGCAAGTTATTTTGATCACAGTTAATGCCTCCCAGGCAACAGGGATTTCTGTCACGTTATAAAATTCTGGGTATTACTGTGCAGTAGGAGGTAAAAATAATTTGCCAGCATGCGAACAAACTCCGATAAGCATAAACTAAACCTAAAAAAAAATAAAAAATCACCCCCCTCTCATTGTGCTTAATTCTTCACAGTTCACAGTGTGTTTTAAATGGCTTTCAGGAAGCTTGAGGCCACAGTGCTAAAGTCTGCTGAATCAGCATCAGAAACTGGAGTGAGTGGTTGCTGGGAAGAAGTGATGGATTTGGGGTAGCAGAATTGCATGAGGTGAATTTCAGCATAGCAAGCTACTTAAATAAATCCCGGAGATGGGGACTTGAATCAGCTGGAGAACAGAGAAAGGAAATCTGTGGCCTTTTAGATCTCATTGAATTCCAGCTCCCAGCACCCCTGACCATTGACCATGCTGGCTGGAGCTGATGGGAGTCAGAGTCCATCAACATCTGGGAGGGCACCACACCGGTGATTCCTGCCCTAATGTTTAAAATATTACTGGTCAAATTGTGGGAATTAGACTTTAGTTGCCATTTGGACAGTATGCAGAAGACAGCCCTGAGTTGTTTGACTCTTTAATTAGTTCTCTTTTTCCTCCTATAAAAACCACGCAAGACACTCTCTTTTAAAGTTAAAGAATAAATAACTTTTTCTTAGTGTATGTGCAGTTCCTGCTTAAATATACTATGCAGGTAGGTGATGAGTATTCTGTAAACCGCCCTGAGACCTGCGGGTATAGGGCGGTATATAAAAGCAAGCAATCAATCAATCAATCAATCAATCAATCCCAGGCTTCTAAAAACCAGTAAAAAGAGTTAGGGGGAAAGATCTGCTATATGAATCCTACTCCTACATATGGTTCTCCATTTTTAACCCCATATGGTTAAAAATCCCACTCTCCACAACTTGAGCAGTCTCGTCCCACACATGAAATTTTACTTTTCACTGTTTGGGGGCCACTAAAATGATGATTACCTATTCATTATTGTGATAAGGCTCCTCTTCCTACAGGAGCAGACCCGCAATGTGCAAAATAGCTTCCCTTTTCAGTGATGTGGCCTCTCCAGCAGACATGAGCTGCAGAGCTAACTAATGTTTGCTGTCTGTGTGTGGGATTTGTCATTTTCCATGGTTATTCTGGTCTATATTCAGTGCTTTGGAACTTTTCTGCACAATAAATAGCTGATTCAGCATGCCCAATGGGTGGTGAGGTGAGTCAGACTCATGCAATTTAAGTCAACGTCCCCAGCTGTAGGAGATGCAGTGTACTTTGGCCATGGCAAGAAAACAACAGTCATTGCTGAGGTAACCGGAGTGAGAGGAAGCAGAACTCAGAGCTCCACCAGATAACCTGTTTATGGAGCATTCATCCTGATTTGCTTGCACAAAGCTTACATGGTGGTTAGAATATGGTCTGTCTTTATTGGGCATGTGTTTTGAGTTGTTTACAATGCAGTTATATGACAATGGACATTTGCCTGCATCCATTCTGTTTCGCTTGTGAGGTGTTCACATGTCTTCCCAGTAATATTTACCTCACATTTTTCAGTCCATGACACCGACACTTCCCAAAATGCAAAAAGTCTGTTTTCGGTTTTTTTATTAGAGTAAATTTGTTCCTCTAGAGCAGGGGTGGCCAACTCCCAAGAGACGTCGGTCTACTCACAGAGTTAAAAACTGGCAGTGATCTACCCCTGTTTTTTGGGGTTCAGGTCAAAGTTGTTGAGCTTTTCCTAGGGAAGAGGAAGGGCCGTTCTTTAGGGGTTCAGTTCAAAGTTGTTGAGCTTCTTTTTATGGGCTGCAGGGCTAAAATGTCTAGGGGAGCCAAATTCCATGGGCTTCTTTGGGGGGAGCCAGTGATCTACCACTGACATCCAGTGATCTACCGGTAGATTATGATCTAGCTGTTGGACGTGCCTGCTCCAGAGCAGCTTTTCTTAACCTTGGGTTCCTAGATGTTGTTGAACTACAACTCCCATCGTGGCCAGTGGTCAGGGATTATGGAAACTGTAGTTCAAGAACATCTGGGGACCTAAGGATGGGAAAGGCAGAGAGGGAGAGGGAGAGGGAGAAAGAACCAAAGGCAGCCTCAGGCATCCCTTCAGCATGCCTATACAGAGCTCCCCTCCCTCTGGCTACCAGCTGCCCCTGCTGAGGCCATCAGAGGAAGAGAAAGCAGCACTCAGGCATGGCCAGTGCTCAGGTTTTATGGGAATGGTAGTCCAACATCTGGATGGTACTAAGTTGGAGAAAGCTGCTCTAGAAACATAGCTGGGATTTGGGGTGCCCATTGATCAAGCTACATCAACAGCAGTAACCAAGCGTGATGCTGTTTATGCTGTCTCCTCACCCACCCACCCATGGGTGTTGAGGTTAGGCAAGGTTTGCATTAGTTCAGGTTAATCTCCCTGCACAGCTAACGCTGAAGCCACTTTCCATTAAAGCCCCACTTTAAATGGCTAGAAAAGCCTTGGTAAATGGCTCCCCAAAAGGCACACCAGATCATTTGACTCTGAACAGTTGAGGATGGGGCAGGCAGGGGGAGCGCTTGTTTTCAGTTCAGTGGAACAAATTGCATCTCTCACTTTTGTATTCTTAAGCATGTTCACATACTCAGCAGCTTTTTATTGGAGACTTTCTCCTATAATCATAATTATCCGGCTTTCTGGGAAAGAGGAAGTCAACACACGATCCAAAGGTTTCAGCAACAAAAGCATGACTCTTTGGGGCAATCACGTGCACTTACGGACTTCCCTGATATTTAAAATTACTTCCAAATTATTGCCTCCAACAAATGTTGAATGACCTCTCTCCTATTTTTATGGCAGATGGAACAATGTGGAGAATGTTTATGATAAGATCCACTCCCTGATTCTCAAACACTAACCTTCGTTATCTCTGCTAGTTTCCTTTAAAAACAAACAACAACACCCCCCACACACACACCCAGGGTGCATGATGTCATATCCTGAGCCCTCCCCATTCCCTGCCTGTCTTTGAAACTCTTACAGAAAGCTAGACACACTAAACAAGTGGACTGCTCTGTTCTGAACATAAGACAATTTATGTGTGGCTTTTGCCTGTTTCATTCAGTCCTGAAGAATTTGATTCAAGGAATCTGAATTCACCACAGTTCGAAGGAAGGAAGAATCCCAAGCACGGTGAGTACAGCCAACGTAGTATGCTTTGAGTCATAAGGAGGGAGTTTAGAAATTCAAATGTGTGCTGCAAATGTGAAATATTGTCTCTATTGCAAACTGAAGAAGGTAGTTCGGTATGGTGAAAACATCAGCTTTAATTAAAAAACCCACATGTATAGTTCTAAATCTTGGATCCCTTAAGATGTGTTCAGTGCTCTCTGTGTCTGTCTCTCACAGTCTCTGTCTCTCTGGGTTGTTGTTGTTTGCAGGGGGGATCCTCGTTGCAAATATCTAGCAAAGTAGACTAGAAGTCAGAAATTTTCACCCAGAAAAGCTCTATCACATATGGGGGGGGGGAATGAACACAACCTTCTCAAGTTTTAAGATTGTGCAATATGGCTTTGACACAAATTCAAAAAAAAATCCTCACAAATATCTACAATGTAATTCAGCTTCAGCACCTAGATTTTGAGACTAACAATGAAGCATTCTAAAGAGCCTGTTACACATTTGGTTGCAAGTATTTTAAAAATTAGTTGGTTTAGTAAAATGGCACATTTTTCATTTTGTAGGATCAATGAAACCACTAATGCCCAGGACCCAACATTCCCATCTGTGTACTAGACTTACTTTCATTAGTGCAGTAAACACAGTGGGTTTGATCTAATCTAATTGTGATTGCATCCCAAAGAAATCAGCCTGAAATGTTAATCATGGCTTAGATTCCATTAATTCTAAAAGGAACTTACAATGCAATCCTAGGCATATTAAATCAGAAGGAAATTCCACTATGTTATATAGGACTTACTCCCATGTAAGCATTGTGGTTTTAGTGCAACTAACTATGGCTGCAATCCTATACCCATTTATCGGAGGGTAAGTCCCATGGAACTCAATGTGACTTATGTGTGAAGAGATATGTACAAGACTGCATGATTACTCTGGATCTATCGCTATGTATGTATTGGCTCAGTGCTTCAATTCTGTGCACACTTATACAGGAGTAAATTCCATTGAACATTGTGGAATTTACTTCCAAGTAACCATGGACAGGATTGTTCTACTTAGGAGTAAGGATGGAGGATAAATTTCATTCAGTTCATATTTAAAGCTGAATGTAACAAATCTGCATTTTTTGAAACAATATGTGAACCAAAACACAGCTGTCCTCCTAAAAATTGCACTTATCTGAATTTTGCAATGTAGTTCTCTATCCAGTGTTTGCAAAATTCATTTATTAGTAGAAATTGTGTATAAAAATGAAGGCATCGGTGAAAATAACATACAAAAAATGCATGATATGTGGAAATGCTTGCAAAAATGTGTACATTGGTCAATAAAATGTGTTTATTAGGATAAAATTACACAAACATGCTGCTGAATTTTCATGAGAATTTTTTAAAATTGCAAATTGCTGCAAAGTACGGAGAGCTGAATTTACACTGCCTGCTTGCTCAACAGGAATCTGCTTACACAACAGGATTTCTGGTTTATCCCCCCCGCTCCCCATGCCCACCCAAACCTGGAGGGTCCCCCAAACCTCTGGAGCAGATTTTGAAGGGACACACAGGGGTGTAAGGGAAGGAGAAGCCCCATTCTATGAGCAGAAACCCTCTCATACCACATTGGATTTCACCTCCTGCAATGAATGGGATGTACATTCCAATGATGGTGCTAAATATCTCCTAGTTTCATTGTACAGCTCCAGCCAAAGGAACTGTGCCAGATGATTTAGTGTGCTGTCTGGTTCTCAGAATCATTAGTGGAGTTTCCTATCAGCAGTTGTGTCAACACACTGCTCTTCCTGCTGATTCAGGAACAAACAGTTTCATGCTAAGTGATGAGGATTCCAATGAGAACATGACTCTGTACTAAAGTGCTCTGATGGGCACCTCTTCTCGCAGAACATCTTTCGTGGAACTGATAAGTCAACTAAGCTTACCAGAGCGAAACAAAACACATTATTCAAAATGGTTTTCTGTCAGTCTTAACTCATCTTTAAAGTGCAGAGGCTGAGCAAATGCATCAGTTGTGAATTGTTGACACGGCTTAGCACAAGGACAAAAAAGTTATGGTTTGGGGAGCTGTGTGGACTGAGGGTGGGTATAATATTATACTCTAATCTAAGAATAGCTAGGTAGATGCCAGGTTGTATGTGTGGCACATTCTAAGGACAGAATTCAACAGACTTAAGTGTGTGTGGGGGTGCTGTCAGGGCAGGACTTTGGGGCAGAAGGCCATGACCCCACCCAGCCAGGATGAGCAGAATGGTCCCCAAATGCTGCAGGACTGGCTGGCCATAGAAGTGTAGATTTAGAAGGGTCATCTAGTCCAACCTCCTGCAATGGAGGAATCACAGCTAAAGAATACCCAAAAGATGGCCATCCAACCTCTGTTTAAAAACCTCCAAGGAAGGAGAGTCTACCACCTCCCAAGGTGGTTCATTCCACTATAAAATAGCTCTTAACCACCAGGGCATTCTTTTTCCCAATGTTTAGTCAGAATCTCCATTCTTGTTACTTGAATCCATTGGTTTGGGTCCTACCATGTGGAACAGCAGAAAATAGGCTTCCTCCATCTTCCATGTGACAGCCATTCAGATAGCTGAAGATGGCTATCATATCAACTTTCTGTCATCCCTTATCCAGGCTCAACATACCCAATTCCCTCAACCGTTCTTCGCAAGTCCTGGTTTCCAGACCCTTTGTCATCCTTTGCACATCCTTTGTCAATATCCTTCTCAAATTGTGGTGCCCAGAACTGGACTCAGTGTTCCAGGTGGGGCTTCGCCAAGGTGGAATGGAAAATGCAGAAAGTAATGCAGAAAGAAACCACCACCACTGTAAGTCCATAGTGTAAAATTACCCAACTGCACCCCTGTGGGGATAGGCTAGTGCAGGGGTAGGCAACCTAAGGACCAGGAGCAGGATGCGGCCCATTCGCCTTCTCAATCTGGCCCGTGGACGGTCTGGGAATCGGCGTGTTTTTACATGAGTAGTAGTAGTAGTAATAATAATAATAATAATAATAATAATAATAATAATAATTTATTATTTGTACCCAGCCCATCTGGCTGGGTTTCCCCAGCCACTCTGGGCAGCTTCCAACAAAGATTAAAAATACATTAAAAGTATAATGTGTCCTTTTATTTAAAATGCATCTCTGGGTTATTTGTGGGGCATTGGAATTTGTTCATTTCCCCCCCAAAATATAGTCCGGCCCACCGCATGGTCTGAGGGACGGTGGACTGGCCCATGGCTGAAAAAGGTTGCTGACCCCTGGGCTAGTGTGACTGAATGCTGCCCCATAGGAAAAACAATACAAAAAAAGTTGCAAACTAGTACACTGGGGAGAGTGCTAGATTGGATCTTTTTGTTTGGCGTGCCATTTTTCTTTGTGGAAGGGTTTTTGGGAGGGGTATAGTGAACCCTTCAATCACGTCATGCTGCACCTGCATTTATAATGTTGCAGTTTTACCTCCCCAGTGAGAACAAGGAACTATTTTTAGGGTAGCAAATAGATTGTTGTGCTTGGACTAGGTAGCCTACTGCAAATAAAGGCACTTCTGGCACAGTGCATAAAAAGTCAAATACAAGGGAAGGGTGGAGAGAATTTGCTTTTCTGATAGCACATCATACAGTAAGCAATTTTGCTTTCTTCATGTCACCCTTGGAAAGAACTTGCCTTTCCTGGAAAGAACTCATCAATCTGTTTTACTCATCCAGTATCTTCCTTTAAAAACAACAACAAAAAACACTTATGTTGCAGAAACAAGCACTCTTTTCTGTTTTTAAATAACTTTCTCCACTCACGACTTATGAAATATTAAATATGTTGCATGACTTATAAGTGGGATAGCAAGCACTCCTTAAGGAGAAACCTACCTTGTTGCTGAGCCTTCTTGCAAAGGAAAGCAGTCTCTTGTCCTTTAAATAGTTGTGTGTGGATTTTGGTAGGTAAAAATGCTACACTTCCTGCAATCCCTCCCACCCATGGGACCTCTGTCTTTGAATAATTCTGTGATTATGATTTAATAGATGGAAGATAGGGTGCAGCAGAACGGGAGAGACAACAACTCCCTGGAAAAAGGGGTGGGAAGTCAATAAAAATAAGAGAAAAGATCCCGGGCTGGGGTAGGGAGAGAACTCTGTATTTGAGTGTGATTGCTCTTTAAATCCAAGGGTGTAGGTGCAAATGTCACTTAATGCAGATTAGTTACTCTGTAACACAATTTGAGCACCCTTCTGTTCATGCAGATGGGATTTCTCCAGAGCAGAGCACTCACATGAGTTTCTTTTCTCCACTCTACAAAATCAGGAGGGAAGACACCCTTTCATCAGCTGGAATGTTCCCATTTTTCCATGCTTCCTTGCCACTGTAATGTTTCATACACATTATTAATTTGCATTGCTAGGACGAAAGTCATCTGTACAGTTTGGAGCATTTATGCCTTAAAAATGGTAAAATAACAAGCTGATTCTTTGATACCCGATGTATCTCTGTCGTTCCCTAAGGAAGGCAGCCCTTCTTAGGATACTGCATGCTGATTCATGGATTTAACACTGCCCTTATGTTGATCTGAGACGGATTTCTTTACTCAGTAGACACCCAGTTTTGCCCACAAATAGAGGAGGAAAATTCCAGCTTTTCTGTTATATAATATATGCTCTTTAAAATATTTACACAGCCAGCCACGGTGGAGTCTTCCAGGGAAGAGCAGGCCTAAAACTGTATCTACCTATCTATCTAAGTACAAATACTCTGTTAGGAACAAAGAATGTAATCATTCATTCTGCAGACACCATTCCAGTAGAGCTAAGCAGGGAATGGTTAATAAACCCAGGGAGAGTACATTTCCTGTTGCTCAGTGGCAACTGCTGAGGAAACTTGCTTAATCCATCAACAGAGCTGAGTTAACTCTTGATGGAAGGGAAACGATTGTAATTTCCTTTAAGGTATGTCTAAAAGAAAGAGAAAAATAAATCCCAAACTGTATCAAGGCCTTCTTTGCACATAATAATTCCAGAATGGTTACCCAGATTGTCCGTTCTGAAACAACTTTGTTTTTCTTGGGATTTTGATTTTCTTATCTGCATGAACACGGAATTCTCAGTTTTGCAGTTATGGTTTCTCACATGTCACGGTAGCAGAATGCTAAGAGCAGCATTGCAATGTAGCGTTCTCTGCTCACACCTTAATAAACTGACCCCCTGTTCTGATATCATCATAATGCATTTTTTTCTCATTTTGAATAGATGCCGTTTGGGACATACACTATAGTATATGTGAGAATTCCACCCAACTGATAAAAGTTCAACTGGGAATCATTAATGCACTCTCCCCATCCGGTGTAGGTAAAATGCAGACCTGTAGCTGCTGAGTAACAGGCAGAAATCCAGCAGGTACAGGTCTGCATTTCTATGTACGCAGAGCTTCTGTAAAGTGAAAAAGGTGGTGTGCCTAGAAACCAGCAGCTTAAAACAGCAATCCTAGCAAGTTTCTAGCACAACTTTCAATAGGGGGTGGAGGTTATGAAATGTATGTCATGGGTTAATTTCTAAATAAAGAGAATATGCATGAAATGAGAGAGCGGCCGGGGGGGGGGGGGGGAATGTGTGGAGAGATTATTTGGATGTCTGAGCAACTAATGGTTTGTTGTGATACGCACAAGCTGCAGCGGGCCTTGTGTTTACAAGCTTCCTGTTTCAGGACAGCCACAAGGGAATCATGGGCATTTGCTTTAATTTTTTATTAATTGTGGTGTATTATTTTATCTGAACCCAACTAATCAGTTTAACTTAATTGTGGTTTGTTTGAAACAAGGCATCCTCAAGCCATGGGTTGTGAATCTGGTTTCTTTCACTAAACCATAGTTAAGATTAAACACTTAACTGCAATTCATGAAAAGCAGAAGTGATTCCTCCTTGAGGTTGTTCCAGAGGAGGAGAAAGGAAATATACACGCCCAAAGCTCACTGCAGTTCCTTCCCATCACGATAAACTATTATTTGTAGCAATGTCTGAACTATGCCAGACTGTGAATGTTCTGTAGCAAGGGAATCAGGCCTCCAGAAGCTCCCTTCTTTATTAGAACTTCCCATCTTGCTAACCAGAGTCCTGGCATTCAGAATAGTTTCCAGGGGTGAATCCCGTAAATGCAGCCTCAAATCAAGTCCAGTAATACACTTTTCGAGCTTCATTCCAAAAGAAGCCCTGCTGCCCATTTTGGGGGATGGGAAAGGGCAGCTGGGGTGGAGGGACAGATTATATTTTTTACCCAGTTATATTTTTTCTAACATTTATCAGATCAGACCATGAGCCTCCATTTCCATTTTTGCTGCAGATGCTTTACATGGGTGTGTAGCAGACTTGAATATATCTGCATAAGAGATAGCTGGACTTCCTGCCAACTTCCGTATCAGTTTGATAACAATAGTTTTGGAAGAAGCATGTCAGGGTCAATAAAAGAAATTTGGCCTCAGGAAAGTTGTAAACAAAGAAAAAAGTGGTTCCTCTCTTTCTGTTTCCTGTTTCCTTGACAGGCTGCGCTTCCTTTTGTTTAATTACCACATCATGCGGATATGTGCATCAACACCTAAATCAGAAGTGGGCAATCCTTTTCCAATTGAAGGTCTCATACCCTCCAGGGCTATCTGTGGGGTGGGGGGGTGGGGGTCACATGCTGGTGGCAGGCATCCCTGCTTTTGACTTTCAAGCATCTCTTCAAAACTTTTTTGCACTGACAGGCCTTCACAGCTGTTTAGTTTTTGATTAGCCAGTCACTTTAACGGTTATCTGCATTTTATTTTTTTTAATGATTTTTTATAATGTACACTGCTTTGATATTTTATGATATGGTGGTGCAGAAATACTTCTATAGCTAAATGACGGCCAGGACTAAAGCCCAAATTGGATAGGTTTGCTGCTTTTTCTTTCTCTCTCTGCCACCTCTGTCTGTCTGTCTGTCCCCACTCCCTCTCTATTATTCCCTCCCCTCTCCCCATCTTTTCCCAGTAGGCTGACAAGGGAGAGACAAATTGCTCTTGCCAGAGGCTTGAACTGATCACTTGCAGAGAACTTTTGAAACTGGGTCGAGGGCACAGGTTGCATGCCGCTGACTTGCATGATCAACAGCTGGGGCAGCGCTGACTTGTCTGTAGGAAGCCTGGACAATGGAAGCAGCAGGGTATCAGAAGATAAAAATCTGGGTCACCTTGGAGATCTGAGACTCAGGAAAAAGGAAAGCAGCTCACGTATTGCTTCTCCTGCCAGAAATTACCCCAGTAGCACCATCTTTCAGTAGGTTAGGAAATTGTGACTTGCATGCAAGGACACAAGAAGGGATTCCTCCCCCTCCTGTTCCGCCCTGTATTCATCACACACAGCATTATTTGTGCTCTGCTACAGTTCACTTTCTGCCAAAAACTAAGTTACTCGTCTCACTTTCCACTGCAGCAAAATTATGTAAGTAATCATGTAAATTATGTAGTCAGTATGTTATCCAACCCCAAATCTACACACACAATGAAAATGGGGTGTGTGATGTAATCAATTTCTTATCAAATGGGGAAAATGACAGTGAATACAGATTGTATTTGGTGGACTGAATTTACAAGTAATAATTACTTTTGCACTGGAAAAATAAAAAGTAATGATATGTAAGACATACCACACAATGCACAACGTTTCCTTTAATATTAAAGTGAAAGTGTGTGTGTGAGAGAGAGGCTTAGATATGTTGTGGCATGAACTGGGTTGTGCACACAGCACCATCTGCGCACAGCCAATTGCACATGCAGTTTGTAAAGGCTGTATGAGCTGCATGAGCATGTCTGATCTCCACACAAATCCAATGCAGACATGCCCTTATCATTTTCCATCGCACGTTAAGATCCTTTGGGCCCAACTACCTTTAACATCCACAATCCAATTAATTAAGTATCCATTGGCAGGTAAGGTTGGAATGAAAGCATCTCTCTAGCATGCATATGAAAACAGCAAAGATTCTAACCCATAATCTATAAGTGGGTGTGATGCCTTTCCCTATGATTAGAACGTGGGCTGGATATGTGGATCTGATTAAATTTCATGAATTTAATTTGAGAATGGGTGATTTGGGCCCCTATTGGCTACTGTAGACTAATTGGATGACTGAAATATAGCCTAATAAACTAAGAGCAACAACAGCGGAGCTGGTTTTTATAAAATCCACTTTCCTGTGAACTGAAAGTCAAACAACAACCCCCACCGCTGCCCAGCCCTGTGATGAATGGGAAATCTCTGGGGGAATTTGTGGGAAAGTAGCTGCTATAAACCTGTGCAGAGACACTCAGTGGATTATGGCTGATGCCAGAAAAGCACCCTCTCACTTGCTAATAAAAGATGCAACAGCATGTTCAGAGGCTTTGGGAAAGGTAAAGCACAATTGCCGAATCCGACACGTACAAGCCGTGATTACTGCAATCAGCACCTGCCTGTGTGCCTCACCCCACAAAAAAGCAATCAAGAGATACTTCATTTATGAAAGGCCATGAAGAAACCCCGGCACAGGTGGGGGAGGGGAAAGAGGAGGAATGACAGCCTGTCTTACTCTCTCCTTAGGCTGCAGGCTTTTAGTTAATGTGTGGAAGGCATTGAACACAAAAAAGTAACTAAATACTAAAATATCTACAATCTGAAGGAAACATATAATTATGTGGGGGAACCAAGAAAATACTAGTTGGAGCAGGGCCAACCCCAATGTTTTCCAACACAATTCCCAGTTTGAACTCTGGTGACATTGTGTGGATGCTGTAGAAAAGATGTGCATGAGTAGCACCAATTCCAAAGTAAACTCCCATCTTGAATCACCTGTTACTTACAAAAACAAAAGTGGATGCTTTCTATCTCTGCATTTGATGCACAAAATGGGGGCAGAGGAGAGCATGTTCACCTGAAGTTTGAACAGGTACTTTCTCATAGCCCCAAACTACCACTTCCTGTTTCAGCTGCGCTTGCTGGAAATTTTCCTAGGCATGTTAACCACTGATACATTTGAAGTGTATCTGCATCTGATCTCAGGTCACTTCCAGACCTGTTTATTGAACAGTCATCCTAATTTATTGGTGGGAAATTTAGATGATGTTGGTTATCTATTGAGCATTCATTCTGATTTGTTTGCTGGGAACTTAGATGACTTAGATGACAAGCAAATGTTATCCCACGCTTTCAAGGATGTTTTCCTGTCAACTTCCTTTTTGCAAAAAGTCTGATCTTCTGATGTTCACTGTGCAAGACGTCCAAATCAACTCTGATTTCACAAGCTGAATTTGCCAGTTTGTGACTGAATCCTACCCCAAAAGAGTGACAGGCTGGAAGTGGTCTCAGTGCAGCACTGCTGCACTACATTGGAAACACAGAAAACATCCAGAAAAGGGCAGATAGTTCCCCACCAGGAACCTGACAGAGAATTTAGGAAGTGAAGCTCACTCACACTTAGCTTCATTCCAGGAGCACAGTTTCATTCTGCTTAATTTTCTGCATTTCAAATTCCTCTTAAGGCAGGACACTAAAAAAAAGAAAGTGGCAATCTTGACCCAGCTTCTCTTCCTTTCCCCATAAATCATAATGAGCAAAGTTCCTCCCAATTTCAAAAGGGCAAAAAAAAGAACCCCCCCAAAAAACCTGTATTCTGCCAGTCCCCCCAAGCACTCACTCAGAATTCTCAGTTGACATTGGCCAGTGTCAAAATTGTAGAAACAAGTCAGTCTGGATTCCTGACCTATCCATTTTTCAGTATGCTATTTCACTGTTGGGCATAACTGACCTTTTCATTCACTTTTTGATCAGAAAATGAATGCCGATGTACTTGTCAGAAGATGTTAGCACATTAGAACAAAGCGTGAGAACAGAGGATGGAAAGCAAATCCAAATGAAAAATGTCTTACTGACCCAAAGAGAGGCTTTGATGTTACACACAGAATAATTACTTCTCTGTTGTGCTTGCGCCTGTTTACACAGGAGCTGAAAAGACTCCGCACCTCACTTGTGGTCAGTAGGTTACATTCTGTTCCCCTATCTCCATATGCTATGCTTAGAGTCCAGGAATTAAGTGGATGACCTATTCAGAAAGGACCAATGGACCCATTTAGTCCAGCATCCTGTTCTCACAGTCGCTGACCAGATGCCTGTGGGAAGCACACAAACTGGACCTTTTTGGGGGGGGAAGCAAGATAGGAAATAAATAAATAGTGGACAAGCCTGATGAGAGGATTTGCTGTCAACCCTAAGCGAAAGAAGTGACAGCCTGGCAGGGAATTGTCTAGAGCACACCATTACATCTGACCTGGTCCTGTGTCTGCAGGAAATATCCCAAGCACCTTGTTAACAAATCACTCTTGAGGTGCCTCCTCGTAATACGACAGTGCCCAGGAAACACTTTTCCTGCTTTCTCCACTTTTCTTCCTTCTGGCTTTATATTGTTGTTGTTTAGTCGTGTCCGATTCTTCATGACCCCATGGACCAGAGCACGCCAGGCACTCCTGTCTTCCACTGCCTCCCGCAGTTTGGTCAAACTCAGGCTGGTCGCTTCGAGAACACTGTCCAACCATCTCGTCCTCTGTCGTCCCCTTCTCCTTGTGCCCTCCATCTTTCCCAACATCAGGGTCTTTTCCAGGGAGTCTTCTCTTCTCATGAGGTGGCCAAAGTATTGGCAGCTCAGCTTCATGATCTGTCCTTGCAGTGAGCACTCAGGGCTGATTTCCTTAAGAATGGATAGGTTTGATCTTCTTGCAGTCCATGGGACTCTCAAGAGTCTCTTCCAGCACCATAATTCAAAAGCTTTATATTAATGCATCACATTAGATAGATGGGAAGTTATTTTTGCTAATGCTGGCAGGTAGATCCTACAATATTGCCTTAAAAGCTGTGCTGCGCACACACCTTACCTTGACTTTTCGCAACACAATACTTTCCATGTTTACTCAGAAGTCCCACTGAGTTCAGTGAGTACTTCTTTGACTCAAACCCCAAGTCTATTTGCTTAAAGAGGTTAACTTCCAAGTAAGTGTTAACAACAGAACTAGAGCCTTAAAGGCCTACCTTTATTGATTTGGAACTGAAAGCCAGTGCAAAACAAGGCATTCAGCAAGGTTACGTGGTAAATTTCAGTATCAGCCTACCCTACTCACAAGATAAGTGTTATAAGCCTTGAGACACGTAAATGGCTCATTAAGCAGTAGAGTTAATTGAATGCCTGAGTGAGACCATTATAGACAGTGTGTGCTAGTGATTTACCACTGACATAATTAGCTGGTGGTAGTTTGGCTTCTAATGAAAATATAATTTCAACTGCTGCTGACAATTAAAAAAAACAAAAACACTATCTGCTGTAAACCGATTAAGAAGATAGCAGAGCTGATCTACAATATTTGTCTAACACAGAACCTGTTTTCTTTTAAAGCACGCTCTCCCTTTTTCTGCCCTAAAGCAGAAAAAAGTGTAGCTCTGGCATTTTAATATGTGAAGGAAACCAAAGCTGCATATCAGATGGTGTGGAATCACCTTCAATATGTCTTTGTTGCAATAACTGAAGATTTCCGTACATGCCCATTATTTATTTATTTACTTTTAAAATATGGTTATGCCTGTACATATACAAGAGGTATACAACATACATGTATATAATAAAACTGTAATGATAACAAAAACAGCACAGCTATATTCTTCCTTCATGCTGCTATTCAGGGTGATAAAATCATAATGGTCAAGTCAGTAAAGAGTTCTTTCATATGTTCGGAAGTTGTCACATTAAGAGCAACGGGACCTCTCTGGGAAGATTTTGGTTTAAGCCTGTTTGGAAATGTAAAAAGTTGGATATTATTTTCATATGTTCTAAGAGTTTTCCAGGTACCTACTTCCTCCCCCTGCCTTTTTCTTTTCATTTTATTTAACACATTAACTGTAGAGAGCAAACATAGCTGTGTATCCTCACGTCCTAACATGAGTGCTCCATCTCAGAGTCTACCTAAACTTTGGGGACACTCGATTCCACCAAGCACCCCCAACTGACTCTCTAGCCCTCCAGGCTACTTAGCATGCTCATTCTTCATTAAGATGTGATGTAGTGTATGTGTGTTAAAAATAGTAGCTGTACTAACCTTGGGATTCCCCGAAACATGATACCACCTCTCTCTTGTTTCAGTTCCAGTTTGGTTGACACTCACTACCTATGCATTATGCTACTGGGAATGATCTGGAATGCCAAGGAACATATTTCCAGAGGGGTAATTGTGTGAGTCTCTTGCACCCCCAAAAATCAAAGCCTCTCCTGGAAACTTAAAGACTAACAAATGTCTTGTGGACTCAAGCCCAGTTTGCTCTTATGTACCCTGATCTCCAAGCAGTTTCAGTTCATAACCTGGGTTGTTTCCATGGAATGAAGCCACTAAAGGTTTGGGGTGTCTTTGTGATCTAGGGTTATATTTACGCCTTTAGGTAGAAATCCGCTTGAATGCCAAAAGATGCCCCAAAGTTCACTGCTTTCCATTGGATTTTGAGGGGGATGCAGCCAATCCACAAATTTATGTTAGCTCCTACCATCTAGTACTCAAGCTTCTTTCTCTGACTCTGTGTGCCTCTTGAAAACTATGAGTTTATTATACTCTGACAATCTGATGACAGCACTTCCAGCCAGGGAGGAAGAAAGATATGCTGACGTTTTACTACACTGCCTGTCATCTTCCAGAAGTGTGTCCAGCAATTCAGTTTCTGTGCCACAGGCCAAGGCTATTTACTGAAGAAAAGAGACATTTTAGCAGACCTCTTCTGCAGACCCCAATCTTACAATTATACAGGGTGTTCAAAAAGTAACTATACACCTATGGACAATGTAATACATAGTAGGTGTATAGTTACTTTTTGAACACCCTGTAGCATCACAAGTTTGGAGGGGACAACTCCAGCCCATAGCAATATATTATATAGTTATAATGTAACAAGCGTTCAGATTTCCTAACTATACAGTACATGCAGAAGTGTTCACAGAAACTTGCATATCTACTTGAAATCTAAGAAAGGGTGATCTAAAAATGTGCATGTATTTTTTGGTGGGGAATCTTTTTTTCTAAAATACCAGTACCTTCTTGCTACTGGTACTTAACATAACCAGCTACCCAGTAACATTTTCACTTGGAAAAAGGAATTTCCTTGCTATGAAGATGACTTATTTCTCTTTTTACATATTACATATTGCAGTTTCCTGTTTGGTTTAACCTATTTTCCTTATTAAATTGGATTACCATTTTTGAATACCTGGTTGCACCTTTAATAAAGATCTGAGGCGATTAAATGGTAACAATTTTTATCTATATGCAACAAAAAGCTTTACCTGCTAACTTCTGCTGACAAAAACACAGGAACTGTTGCTGTTGTTGGACTACAACTCCCATCATCCCTAGCTAGCAGGACCAATAGTCAGGGATCGCACGAGTTGTAGTCCATCAACAGCTGGGGATCAAATTCTGAGAAACAATGGACCAGACTTCAGCCTTACATCCCTTTTCAAGGCACCCAGGAAACGCGTATTACGACATATCGCCTTAAAGGCTTGAGATAAGAGTGAAAACCGTTGCAAATATTGAGAAACCTCCCATTGCATTAATTCAAACTCTATCGGCACTTATTAATAGAAGTTGCCATGCCCATTTATTCCTTTATTTCACAGCATTGTGCACGCAGCTCTATGCGTGGCTTACAATAAATAAGGCAGAAGGGTGAGTTGGGGGAATGCTCCAACTTAATGACCGGGGGGGGGGGCATCATCCCTGACTTCTTCCTCTCCCACTCCGTTCTCCTCGTTTTAAACGAATCATGTGAGTGTGTGAAAACGTCCTCTTCCGCCTCCGATTGGACAGTGCGTGGCACGTGACCGCCACCAACGTCCCGCCCCGTCCCTTGTACGGACGGATCCTGGAGGTGATACGAGGATGCGCGTGGGAAGGACGTGGGCGTGAACGCGAGGGTAGGGGCGGGGCGGGATTCCTCCTCCCCTTCCTTTTTTTAAAGGAACACCCACACGGTGGAGATGCGGCGTTCGCTGGAAGTCGATTTGCTTGCTCCGTGGTGGTAATGGCGGGGGTGGGGTGGAATCGCGCGCGCGCGCTCAGGAAGGTCTGGCGCGCGCGCTCGCTGGCTGGTGTGTGGGCGTGTGTGGCTAGCGCGGAGCCGCGCTTTCATTGATTGGGGCGGTCTTACTGGGAGAGGGAGCGCGCGAGGGCGTGCGGGTGTGGAACGCGCGCAGCACGGCAGCGGCACCCGCCCCACTAAGAAAACCGAGGCGGCGGCGCTGGAGGTGGGTGGCCAGCCCGGGGAGGTGAGGGGAGATTCGTTTGCTCCGGAGGTGGGGAAAAAGAAAAGCAGCAGCGAGGTGAGGGGGCGGCGTCATTTAATTATTATATGCATATATTCCAAAGGGATCCCCTCTTTCTTCCCAGGCAGGGAGGATGAGGCGGGAGGTGGTTAGTGGCGTTGTAGTAAGTAAGGGCGGGTGGCTGGGCTGCTCCCGCTGCTGCAAACTGCGAAAGGAAAGGGGGGGGGATATTGAGCTGCTTTTTCATTCAGTGCCCTTGTTTCCAGGGTGTGATGTGTGTGGCGGGGGGGAGAGAAACTCAGCTGTTGACCTGGGAAAGTTGTCCGTGTGGCGCGGGGTGGGGTGGGGGGGAAGGGAGCTACCCCAGCTGGAGAGACTTTTGCCATCTCTTTGCATAGCTCTCCGCGGGGTTGCTTCTGGCGGAGAGATGGAGGTGCTGCTGCTCTGTTTTTAAGCACTTCCCTTTTCTGTGGAGTTCCGAGTGTTTTCCTTGGTGGCGCCACCGAAATGGTGTCCGCCTGGGCTGAAGCAGAGGGGCGGGATTGTGCGGCTTCTCGACCTCGAGCCAGACGATGCCTTGGGGTGTGTTCAGAGGCAGGATACCTTCGAAATAGCATGTGCTGGGGGCAAACAACAGGTGGAAGCTCCATGGCTTCGTTGTGGAGAGTTGGTGTAATGCAGAGATGGGAGGCCTTTGACTTTTCAGTTGCTTTTGGACGCGATTCCCATCAAGCCCAGAGAAGCTGGTTAATGGTCAAGGGCAGCGGAGGGCCACAAGTTCACTGGTTTAGTGTCTAACAGGCTAAGGCTGCAGTCCTCAGTTGATCCCATTCGATTCACTGAGACTAACTTCTGTGTAGACATGGTTAGGGGTGCCATGAACTGGGAAATCCCAGGGTCACTTTCAGGTCTCCGCCATCTGCATTTTGTGACACACACGTTGCATAGAATATTATATGGATTGTAAATATTATCCACTTCCTGCGTGTGGACCCTGTAAGGTTGGCTAGAAGGGATCTTTGTATAGTTGTCATTGGGGTAGAGCTGGGAACGCTTTGAGACAAAGTAAAGAGTGTAAGGAAAGAGGGGTCATTAACCAGTATGTCTGGATTACGAATTGTGAGAAAGGAGGATTTCCCCTTTCAGTTACTGGGGGAGGTCAGTCGGCAGGAGCAGACTTTGGATCTGCCAAGGTTATTCTAATGAGTTTGTGAGTGCAGGGTATTTATAGAATTGGGCAGGAGTACTTGAAATTCCTCCTCTCTGGCCAGGTTATAATTGTATACATCGATTGAAACATGAATATGATGTGGCCAAATTGTAAGTATAGCTGACTCAATTGTTTGGGCTTGTCCGGTTCTTCAGATATGGATTGGGGTGCTGTAACATGGATATGGCAATACTTGAATTGCTATTGCTCTATCCTGGCTTTTGACACCTGTTATATGGACCCACCTTATTTTCCATTTAAATTGTTCTAACCGATTTTAATACTGTATTTTCATATTGCTGTAACCTGCTCCGGAACCTTGTGGTAAGGGTTCTTAAGAAATACTGGGTACATATATATTTTTAGTCCCATGAAACTCTTGTTCGGACAAAAATGATAAGAATATGTGGTGAAAGACATTGAGAAGCTGCTGCTTATAGATGCAGCTCTTTTTGCCCTGGTTATTCTTTTCCAGAGGCCCAACAATACTTGCTGTCAAATCTTGTATGGAATATAAGTTGAAGTGTTGGGTGGAGAAGACTGGTCTGCTTTTATGGTCACATTGCCAGATCCATAAGCATGTGTGATGGAAAGGTAGTTGTCTGTCTTCAGTGCAAGTCCTTTCACTGGGTACATTTTTGCTGTGGCATCCTAGCTGGGGCTGTTTAGATGCACAATGTTGATTTTGAGCTATGTGGAGAAGACAGCAGCACAAGAGATTCTATGTAAAGGAAGGGATAGACAGGCTTGAGTTCGGGTGCTTGTGATGCCAGTGAAAACTGCTGCTTGAGAAGACTTTCCTTTCCCACTGGATTAGGAGCTGACACAGATTGTCTGTAAATCTGAGGGTTGCTGTACTGATTTAAAGCCCTTCTGCAGAAAGGCATGATGTGTATGCAGATTTTAACCGAGCATGTGATAGGAGCCAAGCATTGAGTCATTGTTAATTGGAAACTTAATACTTACTCTTTCTGCAGCTGCACAGAAAGACCAGTGATTATTAACTACTGCTTATTATTTTTAATCAAATACTTGCTAATTTGTGGAGTTTCCTTTTCTTAAAAAAATCTGAAGCTGGCAGGCTTAAGAAAATTCACTTCTTTAAATCACTGTAAAAAGCTGCAAAGGATATTGTAGTTGAGGTTATTTTCTGTAAGGTCGCTGCTCAATTTAACAGATGAATACATCATGGTAGAAGAAAAGAAGAGCAAATCCAAATCTCTTGTCAACAATCTCTTTCCTACTGGTGTCAGCCTTTCTCCTGGTAGTAAATTCTAAAGTTTAAATGATTTACAGTTTCAGCTTGTAGAGGAATTATTCCATTAATTGCTAATGTAAACGTTTTTCGAATGGCAAGCTTGTGTCTACTGTTCTATCAGGTGGTGCTGTGTGATATGTGTGTTACTTACATTCCCTTCATACTGTAGCCTTGACTGTAGCTTTGCCTACAAAGTATGATGATAATGTAATGTACCTTAAAATTGGTAGAACTGTGCAGGATGGATTGGCAGTTACTGGGCATGTTTTCCAATTAGATGGAAAGTAAATTCCCATGTTGGTTGGTTGAGTATTACAGTACATACTACTAATTTTAAAACTGAACACATCCTTTCCTCCTTCATCCATCACAGCTGTGGCCTTTCCTATGGATCTTCCTGATGTAAACTCTCAATCTAAGCCAGTGAGAAAGAATCTGAACTGAACATTGAACCAAACTGGCCTACGGTTATAAGGTCTGCAGTGGGTTGTTTTGTCTGCTGGATAGGTTCTTGCTTTGTATCTTACGATAAATGTGCAATCCGATGCAGAGGAGTGTTTTGATCTGAACTACACTTCCCTTCAGTGTGATGCATATTGCAGGTTCATGACATGATTGAGATTCAGGTTAGTAGGTTAGTGGAGTAAACAAGCAGTGCACAAGCTTGGATTAGAAGCCTAGAATCACATTTGGTGACTGTAAGTAAATGTTTTAAATACAGTGGTACCTCGGGTTACAGATGCTTCAGGTTACAGATGCTTCAGGTTACAGACTCCGCTAACCCAGAAATAGTACCTTGGGTTAAGAACTTTGCTTCAGGATGAGACCAGAAATCGCGTGGCGGCAGCAGGAGGCCCCATTAGCCAAAATGGTGCTTCAGGTTAAGAACAGTTTCAGGTTAAGAACGGACCTCCAGAACGAATTAAGTACTTAACCTGAGGTACCACTGTGTGTGTTATGTTTCTAGTGTTATTTTTGAAGCCTAACGAATATTTGCTAGCGTGGCTGCAACTAGAAACAGGGGTTTTGATTTGTTTTTTGTTTTTAAAAAAGCTTAGTTGTCTCAGTTGTATATATCAACTTGATGTAAACAGTCAGCCTTGTCAGTCTGAATAAATTATTTCTTAAGCACACACAAATATGACAACTTTTTATCTCTTATTTTGATAAAATATGTAGGCTTCTGCCCAAGGCAAGATTTGAAGGTACTGGTGGAAGAGAATGTACAATTATGTATATATGTGAAAATAGCTACTGAGGCTTTTGCATAAATGACTGCTTCGGAAGCTAAACTGGGTGTAACAGCACAGATAAATTTAACAAAAGAACAGAATTCTATGGTCCAGAGATCACCAAGCTTTTGTGGGGCTTGTGCATGTTTGCAACCCAGAGAAAATGTTGGTGTGCATCACACAAACACCCCAACCAGTTACACACTGCATCCTACTATTTTGGCTACAAGGCAATTCTTCTTTCCGATCTTATTTCAGTGAGTAGATGGGATTCTGTTTGTTCCAGGAAAGGCCTCTGCAGATGTACCTGAGGGTGCCATGTTTGCAACCCCTGCTATAGTCTGGAGTGGCATCCCAGGACAGGAGAGGGAGAGTTGCTCTTTCAGGTTTCCCTGTCTGAAGCATGGCAACCTCTGCTGTTCTTGCTCCTCTGCTGGTGGGAATATCCAAACCTTCCTGTTCCCCTAACAAGATGCCAGAATATTGTAGGGGGCAGGGACAGGAGAATGCCGTCCTGGAGCAGGCATAACTTATTTTCCCTCCAGCCTTGTCTATATTGACAAACATGAGAGAGGCAGGGCTTTGGATTTCCCCATTCTTTTGCTGCTGTTTCTCCCTTCCCTGATGCTTTGAGGAAAAAATGGCAAATTCCTGGATTAAAACACAGTTTACTGTTTTAAATAAATATTTAAACTATTTACGTAATAATAAAGTATTTTAGACTTGCTATCATACTGCTAAAACAAATGTCTAAACAACAACAAAAAATACTTAACAGCTTCCTGATGATTGCATATAACCTACCAAGGTATAATAAACATTTTACTTGTTTATTTAGTTCATTTGTGTATTTTTGTTTAAATTAGTAGTTGTACCTTTTTGAGGCTTCATGGGAAATGTACTCAAAGTATTTGAGGCTCAGAAATAGGCTGTCCCAGTCAGTGGCCGAGCAATATTGAGAAATTTCCAAAACAGTTACTCAGGTTAATGAAAACAGGGGGAAATGAATGCCTGCCACACAATGTTGCATCCTATTTTGGCCCAGGCTGCATTTCCTTATGCTTGACTCACTGCTTCAAGATCAGAGCTCTGTGGAGTTGATGGTGACTTGATATAAACTAGTTTTTCCTCTTTGATATGCCAGTTTTGATTGCATCACTAATGAGCCCAGAGCATGTATTTTCCTAAACTTTTATATTTGGTCACTGAGCAAGCTTGACTGTTTATGTCGACAAAAAGGGTAGAATGCTCCTTTAGATTCAGTGAATAATATTATGGTCCCAAGAAAGAAAGCAGAATGATGGCATGTAGCCATGGCAACAACATTTTGTGTGGGGGCTTTTTAATGTAGGAGGATTCAGGTATCCTTGGTTATTGCTCAGCATTTTTTATCTAGGTTAAGGAAGAAATTTGCATTTTTAAACAAAATCAGCTTGCGAAATGTATGCACTCTGTTGCTCAGAATGCATACGTTATTATTATTTTTTAAAAAGGACTTGGCTTGCAATAGAAGGCTATCTTCTACATAGGTTTCAATTAAATTCTTGGGACCCCAAGCCTGAAGCTACTTGTGCCTAATACTGAAAGGCAAAATATTCTTTCTGTTTAACATTGAGAGATAAGAATAGACAAAAAAGTGCCTAGCTTTGTTCTAATTTAATCTATCAATACACTTCTGTCATATAAAGCATTACCCTTTGGGCTTTCTGAATGTTCTGACCTATTGTTCAAGGCTAAGTGATGTGGGGAGAGAAGCAAAAATAGCTGTCTAATTTATTTAGATATAAAGAGCAGCAAAAGGTAATCATTTGAACAGCTGAAGTATCTCTTCATAATATAAATCATAATATAAATGGCAATCCCTTGACTTAAACTTAATAGTACAGTACTTACAGCCTGGCCCAAGTTTTATAGCTTGCCTTTGAATGATTCACTTGAATAAATGTACTCTTGAATGATTAAAGGCTGCTCGGCCACCTCTGTATCTCTCTTTTTCATGTGGCAAACACGGTGTTCTTAAATACATGGTGACTAAACCGATCACTTGTTAGTACATGTTTAGTCCTTCAGCTTTTCTGGTAGTTAGTCACAGTAGACTATTAGTGTTGTCACCTGCCCTGGCATCACATGCACACACATTCTTTAACAATGTATATATGAAAATTGTGTGGTGATCTGGTGGTGGGAGAGCTCCTATACATGCTTATTGGGAGAACATTAGAACAATTAGGCTTGCCTATAAGCTCTCTTTGATACAGTGGTACCTTGGGTTAAAAACTTAATTTGTTCCAGAGGTCCGTTCTTAACCTGAAACGTTTCTTAACCTGAGGTACCGCTTTAGCTAATGGGGCCTCCTGCTGCTGCTGTGCCGCCACTGTGCAATTTCTGTTCTCATCCTGAAGCAAAGTTCTTAACCCGAGGTACTATTTCTGGGTTAGCGGACTCTGTAACCTGAAGCGTCTGAAACCCAAGGTACCACTGTACATGGATTTGTTTTATGCTGATCAGAGTCAGGGGGTTACCAGACAGTTGAAGTTGTCACTGGAACACCTAGGGTCCTCAATCCTCCAGGTGTTTATTTTTCAGTGGTCTTTAATTACTCTTAAGAACATTATTATATTTTGGTAAAACTGCTAAACATGTTGTTAACTCTGGATCTCCATAATGTATGTAACTTGAACCTTGTGACTTCATAGTCTCTGTATCTTTCTGTGCCATACATGAACTATGAAGATACAAAATACAGCACACTACAGTATTGCAATTTATACAGAATATATTTAGTTTAAAATTTCAACCAATAATTTAGAAGTTGGCTACTGGAAGGGTTTCACAAAGGAGTTCTGTTTGTATCTGTATAAACTAAAGGCCCTCTGAAGAATGGCTGCTTTCAGTTGCATTGTAGCTGGAGAAAGTCTGTAAACGCCAGCTGCATGGCAAGTAAAATGAGAATGATTGAGCATGCTTGCTTAACTGTAGTTTGCTTCCTACTTCACAGATTCTATTTTAAGATACTAAGTAATGAAATGGAAAGCAATGGATTCTTGAAGCCATTTGATTGTTTTAAAATTGATTTAAGTTGTACTGAAATAATGTAATATCCATCTCTTTGGGTGTATTTATATAAACATTGCCTGCATAAAGAGCCTCATACTATGAAGCAGCTTCTAAAAATGTAAGGTGTCTCAAGGAAATTCCTGTTCATAGGTTAAGGGAAATGTGTGGTTTAAGTGAATGCAGAGTTAATGCTTCTTAAGCAGTGATAGGAAATCATCTCAAAGGTGTCTTGCTTATCCTGAGTTCCTATAAACTGGATATGCGGGAAGGGTCTATAGATATGCGGGGGCACTTTACTCCAGTGGTTTGTTTCCCTGAGATGGTTATACCATGCAATATAGCTAAATTTGGTGTAAAATGAGTTTGACAGTTTCTGGTCCATTCCGAAACACAGCCTATGGTAACCCTATTTAGGTATTCTGAATTGGGCATAAGTCAGTGCATGAAGAGAGGAGAGCATGCAGTAGCTGCACCCTACCAAACCGTGTCCTTTTAGTCCTCCATGGGGTTGTTTTATTTTTCAACAGACCTTTACAGCTCTAGTTTGATATTTTAAACTAAAATGTATGTCCCTGTTTAGGAAACACATCTTGGTGGTATCCATTGTAGTAGTACCATTGGTGCAAGGGTTTCCATTTGTACAGCAGAAATTCCCTACCCTCTCTCTGTGTGCCCCTCCCCATATCTGCTGCAGAGGGTTGGAGATAACCCAGAAGAGATTTGGCAGAACGCAAAAAGAGGAAGAAGGTCCATTACACAGCCAGAAGTCCTTGAACTGATGGTACTACTTCATTGGATCCCGCCATTAACTGTAGTTGGTTGAAAACAAGTGGCTGCTTCCAATCTCTACCTGGTAGATGAGCCAGACGAAGAAGAGAGAATGGGGAACACACAAACTTGAGACTAGTTAATGTGGCACTCTGGTTCGGTGTCATGTTGTGGCCAGTAAAATTGGGGATAGTTCATAAATGCTCCTATGGTCTCTTCACTTAACAGTTGCAGGCTGTGTGTTGAGCTGTGTGTTGGAGTTGCTCAAATTTTACTTGCTTCATTCTGCCTTGGCTGCGGCAAAGAGAAACAAACCAAAGGGCTAAATTAGCATCACATGTCATGTGATCCACTACCTGTGACTTGTTTTTCTCCAAACAAACCAGAAACATAAACCAGGGCTTGTTGCTTCCCACTCATGGTTTGTTTGAGGGACAGGAATGCTGGTTTGCCTAGTGTGCCAAGCCTCATGACCTGTTTGCTGCAGTTGTAGGCAGGGCTACGGGTGAGCAGGGTATCCAGCAATACTGCTCATTCATTGGAAGCCATAGTTTATGCCTGACTGTAGCTTACCAAGGTGTGCACTGTTAATACTGTAGAGCAAAAGCATTAATCAAAGGGCGTTGTGATAAATCTCTACACTGATTCTAAATTTTAAATACTTGATTTACATACCAAACACGTTTTCTGTTTCTTACCTTTTAGCTCATCAGTCTGCTTTGGTGGTGCTTGACAACAGTGCAGAAAAATGGCTGCTAACAAGGCAAAAAACCAGAGCTCTCTGGCCCTCCACAAAGTAATCATGGTTGGCAGTGGAGGTGTGGGCAAATCAGCACTTACACTTCAGTTTATGTATGATGAGGTAAGATTTGTGATCTATGTGTACATTTTCAATTACAGTGGAGTGGACCATTATTGCATCTGCACTTTGCTTCCTTAATATGAAATAACTAAGCACAGCCGTAGATTGGTTCAGAAACACAGGAAAAAAGCATTATTCTTCAAAACTGAAGTTTCTTCCTAAAAGAGCTATAACCCCATTAACTATAGCAGGGCCAGTAAAACAGCTGATTTTATATTGTTGAATTCTTGCATTTCTAGCTTAGTTCAGAGATTAAGTTCCTCTTTCACAAAAACTTGGAGGTTCAAGTAGGCTGTTCTGCTCTTATCTGTCTGAAGCACTCCAGAGAATTTGTTGTGCTATATATAAATACTTTATGATAACAATAGTACATCAAATGTCACTTAGAGCTGTGTGTGTTCTGTGGTTCCATGCTTGTGCTGCAGAAGCACAGAATCTGACAATTGGGTTGGCGCCTCAAGAAAACTTCTATCTATAGAAATGACCAGGGCATTGTTTGAACAGTGTGAAATCTCAGAAGCTGGGGTGGGAGCTTGCAGGGAATGATATTGTCTTTTCCCATCACAAAAAGAAACATAAATATTTTTAAAATGTTGTATCTCTTTTTTCTGAGAATCTCATATTCCAGCCCCACCCGTATAATCTCTTAATGTCTTACTGCACAACTCTAATTCCATAGTGAAGGAAGCATTTTTATTTAGCATTGTGTCCTGTGCTATTTAGAGTCAAAACCGCAGCCTTAAAATAGCACAACGAAAGAAAATACTTTGTATCCAAGAAGCATGATAAGATTCGATAGTTGGTTTCCAACATATTTTGCTAAGAGGACGTATAAATAGTATCTTGTCTTTCGCTTGAGACCTACATGTTGGTCACAGTTCATGTGGGTTCTCAGATGTTCATAGAATTGTAGAGTTGGAAGGACCCTGAGGGGCATTTAGTCCAACCCCCTGCAATGCAGGAATCTCAGCTAAAGTATGCTGGACTGTAGTTCTCATAATCCCCAGTCACCTTAGCCAGTAATCAGGGATGATGGGAATTGTAGTCTAAAAACATCAGGGCACCCAAGGTTGAAGAACACAAATATAAGGTGGCTTATAAGGTAAAATATTTTGCTACATTGTTCCCAGAAGTCACTACTGATAATTTGATAACCCATCCATATTGGTCTTTGATGTCTAGTCTTCTTGGCATATGGGCTGAAGGAATCGTTATTGGCATATGGGCTGAAGTTGACAAAAATCAGGTATCAGAAGCTGAGTATGGGTACTCTACAGTTAATTACTCCTTTTATAACTCTTAGTTTGTTGAAGACTATGAACCTACGAAGGCTGATAGCTACAGAAAGAAAGTAGTTTTGGATGGTGAGGAAGTACAAATCGATATTTTGGATACAGCTGGACAAGAAGATTATGCAGCTATTCGAGACAATTACTTCCGTAGTGGAGAGGGTTTTCTCCTAGTTTTCTCCATAACTGAGCATGAATCCTTTACAGCAACAGCAGAGTTTAGGTAAGTAGTGATCTCCAGGCATTTTCTGTATTTGTGTGCCAAAAAAGGAATATGGTCCAATGAACTGAATAATATGCCAAAGCGAACATCATTTTACAAGTGTAACTAATAGTGAAATTGAGGTGGTTACCTGGGTGGAATTCATTTGACCCAGGTAACACAGACGTTTTCTTATTTTTTGCCACTGAAGGGTAAAATAATCTTTGCCCTGCCCTGCCTCCCAGGGACAACATTTTAAGTGTTGAGCTTCACTTTCTTAATATTTTGTTCCTGCAGTTGGAACAGGAAAATAGTGAGCACATCTGAAGGTATAAAGGCTACAAATGAACATTAGCAATATTTGTGTTAAGTATATTTAGATGTTTCTTGGGGTGAATGTTTGCAGCAGAATCTTAGTTTTGGAAGGGACCTCAGAAGTCATCCAGTCCAACCTCTGCCAATGCAGGAAACACACTATTACAGTATCCCTGTTTGTTTGCTATTGAGCCTTCTCTTAAAAACGTCTAATGAAGAAAATTACACCAATTTTCAAGGAAGTCTGTTCCACTGTTGTAACAGCTTGTACCATCAATAGGTTATTCCTAATGTTTAGTTTTATCCCTTTCATTTATCATTTGAACCCATTGGTTCATGCCCTACTGTCTGGAGTGAACAAAAGCAAATTTTCTTCATCTCTGTGTGGCAGCTCTTTGTATAGTTGAAGACGTCTATCATAACCTCTGGCTAAACTTATCAAACTCCTTCAACTTTTCTTGGCCTTTGTCTCCAGGCCCACATTATCTCTGTCAACTTCCTTGAGACACATTTCTTTTGTAGTTTTAGTCGAGCGAAGAATTTTAAACCTCTATTTATTTCAGAAATGCTCCCATCATTTCTTGGCATGTGAAATAATAAATTGTTGTACATTTTCCATAGTTTTAGACTACTGGGAAATTGCTATGATAGCCACCTCAGTTGCTTTGTGTTTAATATTTTTTACTAGGGAGCAGATCCTGCGTGTAAAAGCTGAAGAGGACAAGATACCTTTACTTGTGGTGGGAAATAAATCTGACTTGGAAGACCGTCGGCAAGTGCCTGTAGAAGCGGCTAGAAGTAAAGCAGACGAGTGGGGAGTGCAATATGTAGAGACATCAGCAAAAACCAGAGCAAATGTAGATAAGGTAAAGTACTAAGTTGGTTTTGGGCAGCAGCCTTCTAAATGTGGTTACTGACTTGCAGTTGTGGATAAATACAAAGCAAGAAACTTCTGCCCTTTGAGGACTCCTTTTATTATGGAGAATTTGAGGGGAGTTGTGTTTAAGAACTATAGGGCTCTCATTCGGATAGCAAGGAAACTTGCTACTTTTATGTGAGAATACAGGATTCCTGTCTTGGCTGCTGGTTTTCCTCTTAAATTATGCTCCGACTACAAATTGTGTTATGTGGCTGGGTTCAATGAATATTAGTATGACCATGCTGAACACATCTTGTAGTATATTCATGGCATATAATGACTTGGTATGAGTTTAATTGAGAAGCACTGGTTTCCTTGCAACCTTGCTAAATGCCTTCCAAAGGTAACCTTCTCAGTTGCTCTTGATCACCAAAACTTCTTTAAAAAGTGCATTGGGGGTTATTGCAATATAATCTGTGCTTCAGATCTCATTTCCAAAAATCTTGTCAGCAAATTCAGAAGCTCACTAAGATTGAATCCCAAGTTCTTCATCTTAAATATGTGTCATTAAGCTTTATGTTAGTATGCATAAAGGCTAGGTCTCCATTTAAACTTTTCGTGTGTCCATAGGAAAATGTTCCTATAGAATTCTTCTAGATTCCACCGTAATCCATGTATTCTGCACTAAATTTGGATCTTTATGCAAAAGTAATAAAAAAGAGTGTTGATTTACTAGTCATTAAAACGCTTCATTATCGACAAAACGTAATATTCTGTAGATACCTGTTGTATCTATTTCCATTGTGTTCTTGTGTTTAGATTTTAAATCTCTCTAAAACAATGGTAAAAAGGTCTATTCCTGTGGTAATTTTAACTTTTCGTATAAAGCAAACAACATATTGTATATTATTATTATAGGCTGAATCACTGTATGCTAAAAAAAAATTCTGTTATTAATGTGCAGTTTTTCATTTTAGGTATTCTTTGATCTAATGAGAGAGATTAGAGCCAAGAAGATGTCGGAAAACAAAGACAAGAATGGCAAGAAGAGCAGCAAGAACAAGAAGAGCTTTAAAGAAAGATGCTGCTTATTGTGATCTTTAGGAACTGTACATACAGGCTGCGGAATTAACAAGACATTTACCACTAAGGGTAGAGGACTGGATGAATGAGGAGACCTCTTGATCCAATAAGCTTTTCCACTCACATAATAGCCTTTTTGAAAGTGCAAAACTTGGTTTGAAAAATTATGAAGTTCAACAAATCCATGTATACTGAAAGGGACAATTCTTGAAAGCAACTGTCCATGCTAAAAATATTGCCAGCAAATCTTCTTATCAGCAGTATGATCACTCTGAATTTCTCTCCTGATGTTGCTCCCAATGTTGGCACTCTCTCTATGGACTCTTCCTCAGTCTTATGCAGTGGCTAGTTCTGATTGAAGTTCAACCAAAGTTACCTGCCTCTCCTATGTGACTTCAGTTTTGGTGCTCCTAATAAAGGCATAAGCCTTTAGCCATTCTTTTAAAAGGGAAAGTTAAGACATACTGAGATCTCTCTGGTCTCTGAAATTTGCACACAACTGTATTAAAGTAGGTTATGATGCTACTATTTTGCCAACATATTGGATGGACACTATAAGGACTTAGTCATTCAGAAACAAAGACTCAGTAGTGAGTTGGTGTTTGAGTCATCGCAGCAGTATTCCTGAATTGAGCCTATAATTTCAGAGCATTAGTGGTTATATTCTGGCACTCTGTATTTCCAATTTATTTCCTCCTTCATTCCAACAGCTTATTCGGGGTAAATGGACAAGGCATCTTTCTAATATTGAGAAATTCAAGTAATTCCATCCTGTCTGCCAAATACTAGATTTGCTCCCCCCCCCCCCCAAAAAAAAACCTTGAACATTCTATTTGTGGTGTAGCAGTGAGTTTGTAAACATGTATTGAATCTGTAGAAATTGGTGCATTTTTACTCTTTCAGTGTTTAACAAGGGAATTTGTTTCTTTTTTTAAAAAAATTGTAGGGCCCACACTGAAATCTAGTGAGTTTCCATTCAGTCTCATTTAAAGTCTGAGAGGACCATCCATGAGTAACTAACTCTGCACACACTCAATTGAAATTAATTGTAATTATGCAAATCTAAGGCCCTTGTGCAGCAGAGTCCTGGGGATTGTGCCATACAGAAGCACTTTGCTATTTAACTATGCTGGGTTTTCCTTCCCTTTCTCTAAAGAGTTATTGCTGTATTTGTAATTTCAAGAGTTGCATTTGAACACTCAATACTATTTTGCTAAGAGCCAGGGGTGTGTGGGATTAAAGCAAGTGAAATGAGTGATCTTTTCACATCTTTACACTTGCCCCTTTAAAGTGACATCTGAGCTAATAATGTGAAGTTGCCAAAAAGCCTGACCCTTATTGTTGTTGCACAGGTTGTATTAATTCTGCTGCTGCAAAACTTTTTTATATAGTTACTCAATAAATCATGGGGAGAAGTCTGTATTATAAAGGCAGCTAAATATACGCACTCAAAGCTTTTTTTCTGATTTTGTCACTACTTCATTGTTAATGTTGTGGATGGAAAAGCATGTGAAGGTGAGCAGATGAGCTTTTGAAATTATTTTTTTGCAGGCACAATAGGTGAGCAACTTGGGTGTGATCATACAGGTGATCATTATTTTATCTGATTACAAAATAAGTTCAGAATCCACCTGGGAGAAAGTTGTGCATGGGTGCTCTGATATAGCAGCAGCTTTGCGAAATCAGCTGCTGCTTATAAATATGAGAAGAGGGGGCAGCAGTCTGGAAACTGCAACTAAGAGTAAGTGTGTCTGGATGTTTACAAAACTCGGTGTTTCTCTTGCATAAGGGCAGAGGTTAGTTACCAAATAGGACTATGAGCGAGCTGCCAAAGTAAAGAAATCTCGATTTAAAGCTGCATACATTTGCATGCAAATGAAACAGTACTAAAGTGATAAATGAACATGTGGCAATATTTCCCCTCTTTAGCTGCATTTTTCCTATGCTTGAGATAAGGTTTTCAAGCTTCTGGTATCTCTAGATGTTTCTTTTCCTGTGTGATGGCAAAACCTGTTCAACCTAGCCTCTGTACAGTTGCTGAAAACTGCATTTTGGCTGCTGGTGTCATCAGGGTTAAGTCCTGCTCATGCAGCAAGTCTGATTTGCCAACATGTCATAGCTTCACCTCTCTATGCCTCATCGAAGTACCATTTCTCTCTCACTTGCAGCAAGAAGGCCAAATGCTTCCGGAACAGTTGATTGTTTCCAGATCAGGAGTGTTGATTGGGAAGACAGAAAGCTGTTCCCCCACCATCACCACAGTTGGTTTAGAAATTGTTCATTGGGGAGATCTAGGAGCATATCTAGAACTTGAGGGAGAAATCCCCACTCCAGCTTACCTGTCATGAAGGACAGCTTTTTCACCCAACAGATCCTATTTCTTGGGCAGATTCTGTTTCTCAAAGTAGAAATGAGTTAACACATCCCTAGGTTTCATCACCTCTGATTGTTCCCTGCCTGAAATAAATGACGTTTCCCCACTCTTATGTAAGGACTCTCCAGAGTTGTTTACCAGGTCCAGTTCTACAATCCAGTGTTGACGGACCACCTGTGCAGAGAAACAGCCAATTTACTTGGGCAAGCACTTCCCAGTCATTGATGGGAAAATTATAATTCAACCATGTTCCCTAGTGTAAGTGAAATCTTTTTTGTTCAATCCACCCAAGTCTTTGGAAAGAAACAGGATGTTGACTGTGCAATGAGTCTTGGATGTGAGACTTCTGGGTACAGCTTTGTTTTTAATCTCTCATAAAATCACCAGCAGCAAGTAACTGTTTCATTAATTAGCTGTGACATATCCATCTGGATTTACAGCCACTCTTTCACCAAATAAAAGTGATAGAATGGTAAGACTATTTTTTTAATGGTTAGTATTTCCTTAAATCATAATTACAGGAGGGCTATATAGTTAACATTGCTGTGGTTTAGGAGGAATATGGCCCTTAAATTGAAAAATTGACTGCTCTCATTGCAGAAATGGCAATAAGAGGGAAAGCAATGGCATGATAATGTGCTTGGGTCGCATTGCTTCTTAATGTTATTGGGGAAAAGGTTTCTTACTATTGTAGTTATTTTCCTTATGTTAAGTTTAAATCCAATATTGAAACAGTTACAGATGCTTTTTGGAAGAGATGAGAAACAATGTTACAAAACAAATTGTCAAGGCAGATCAAATCAATAACAATGAAAATATCAAGCAAAACCAATAAGGCACAGTAATCATCAGTGTCAATAAAGGGCAAATGGTTCTGATATTGCTGAGGATTTGTCTCTTCCTTCCAGCATCTCATTAATCAGGAAAGAAAGCCAAGCACTAAGTAAAGATTCTTATCTAGAGATGGACTTTTTGATCTCTCAATTGTTAGGTTAGTTCAAGGTGGTCCAACATGCATCCCAAGAGCCACACGCAGCCCTTGGGGACTTTTCTTGGTAGCCCTCAGCAACATTTGACACTTTCCCCAGCCCTTGCACTGCCTTCCCAAAGCCAAGCAAGGAAGGTGCTGGGCTTGGGGAAGGAGGTGTGAGGACTCTGACAGGATCCTGCCTCCTTCCCTATCCCTTGTTAGCACTTTTCCAGCCAGAGCCTTGTGCCTTCTCTTCCCAAAGCCCAGCGCCAAGGTTTCCTTTTCTTAAAGGTCAGTCATCTAATCGCTTCATTTTGCTAATGTATGCACACTTAACAATGTTATTGTGCATCACTGAATCTGCCATGTTTCCATATTGTGCAGTTGCACCCACATACACATCTGTATGTGCACATTTTGGATGTAACATCTGTCAGGCAGATCTAACCCAAAGGGTGGCTTCCAGCTGATGAGCAGAAAGACACCAAATGACTTGTGTTTTTGCACTGTCTGGACAGAGGAGCTCGTATGTAATATTTACTAGTGACCAAGGCTGCTAATCCTGTGTGTGTGTGTGTGTGTGTGTGTGTGTGTGTGTGTGTAAAGCAGCCACCAAAGTATCAATAAAATTTACATAAATGGGAAAGTGTAAATCACTAGCTATACAAAGGAACCAATTTCTCTATGCAGTACTGAAAGTCCTTTTTAGTCCCAGTAGTGACAGGAAATTACTATTTAACTAGCTGCTGTTGGTTCCCTTTTGTAGTCACACACATGGTTGTCTGTGTCCTTTGCTAGTCATAAAGGGGTGTATGTGTATGTCCATGTGTATGTGTGTATATCTATATATATGTGTGTGTATAAAATCTCAGAAGCCGATTTTTTATAACAGTGTCACAAATCAGATTAAAGCTTTTCTTAAAGATTAACTATAAAATGCTGACAGGTCAGGCCCTACCAGTGAGGTGAGTGCCTTGGGCTGAGCATGTGATGGGTTCCCAGCCATTCCCCTCCATTGGAAGACAGAGTTGTTGTTATTTATTGGATTTCTATACCGGCTTCTACCCACAGATCTCAGTTGTTTGAGCCCCATAGTCTGCCCCGTAAACTAGCCTGCCGTCCTCAGATGCAGTGAAGGAAACTATCCTATTGTCCGTGTCGAAGTAAGATGCACTTGCTAATTCCGTCAGTCTCTGTATGTGGAATGGTGTGTGACTCTCCTGGCTTCTCTTCGCTGGAGAGGCGCTGCACAGCTTTCCCTCTCTGCGCAGCGCCCCTTCCACGAAGCGGGAGGAGAAATGGAAGGGGCTCAGTTTCTCCTGCCGCTTCGCTGAAGGGGCACTGTGCAGAGAGAGCGAGAATATTTTTTTTCTTGTTCTCTAAAACTAGGTGCGTCTTATGGTCGGGTGCATCTTATAGAGCAAAAAATACGGTGATTTAAACAAGCTGACTTCATTGTTACTGCACTGTATTGTCTTCTTCTGTTCACACATGAATTCATAATAATGTGTGTTTAAAAAAAGAAATCAAACTTTATTCTTGACAAGGCCTCAGAGCCTACACAGATAGTAACTAACTTCTCCAGTCAGGCCACACATCTCCAGGAACTGGCCTCCTGGGTTTTAGCTGTTCCTTTTAAAAAGGCCAAGCACCAGGTATTTATTTGCATAGACCACACACATCAATCTGATTTTGGTATTTTATTTTTTCCTCATCATCCTCTAATTCATGTACTGCCTTGCCTAATGAAAGAGTTCAAGAGAACTCTAAAGCTTGCCCCACTTCTGTGACATTTTGGTTGGTTCCAATAAAGCTTTGCCCAATTGGATTTTGGAGGCTTTTAAAATTATGTACCAACAAAGCTCCTTTTTGATTCTTTAAATATAAAACATTGCATGTTCTTCAGTATGAACATAGGCCATTTTGGAACTTTACCGTTTTGGGTCCTATTCCAAGCCCTTGCTTTGCTGCAGAGGTGAAGGCAAGACTCATCTGTTTGCCCCTCCAAAGTGCTTCCAAACCTCTCCCTACATTCCTTGTCTTGGAGCTAAATCCACTTTAATATCCACACCCTTTAAATGCTATTTGAACATCACTCTGGTGCCACATCAGTGGTGCTTGCAACTATCAGTGCAAAGCCTTTTTGGCTCCCCGCCCCCGCCCCCCCCCCCGTTGCATGGCTTCATAGATGAACATTTCCCTTGCTAGACCTTATGCTTACAGATATTACTTTGAAAAGTCATCAAAGATGCACAGTAAGCTGATTTTTCTGAATAAGCCCTTAAATGTGTACAAGTTGGCCAAATGCATGTTGCTTACCATGACTGCAGTGTAAGAAAAACACTGGGGCCTAATTTGATTAGTAAAATGTATGGCATCTGGTGGGTGGGGCTTTTGTGCTGTGCTCTGGAATCGGCCCTCCCTTCGGGTGTTCAGTTAAATTCAGTCATTCTTGCCTCATGTTGTTGTTTTTAGTTTCTCTCAGTATGTAATTGCGTTACAGTTTTCTGTACTGTTGAAGCTTTGTTTGACATATACGTAAGATGCTTACTTTGCTGAAAGAAAAGAAAGTCTGCTGAAGAATGGTGGAATATCCTAAACTGGGTGAGTGAGGAGATATTCCCAGTCTGACAGAAGGATTGCTTTCTTTAATCACCCTCACCCTCCACAACACACAGAAGACCCTAGTTCTTCATCTTAGTCAAGATCTGTCTAGCAATTAGTTTTAGGATAAGGAACAAAAATAAGGTGTGTTAGGATCCTATTGTGAGAGAGGTGGAAAGACAGGACGCAATTGTATTAAAAATCTGAAATACAACTTAGTTGTGCATAGATCAAATCTCCTACAGAACATGTCTCTCAGAAATCCTGAATAGGTGGGTTTTTTCAGCAGGTCCATCAAGCTATGTGCTGAGTAGTGTGCCTGTTACAGAGGCTGCATTGGCTGATAAATGTAGACATAGACCAGTTCCATTTAATGGTTTGAATGAATCTCCCTGGTAATTAAAATCTGCTCGCTTGGGGTGTGATTAAAAAGCCTGTGCCCCGTGGGCTTTTTCAAACATTTTCAGGTGTCACTAGACCCAGACATATTTATTCATTTAAAGGAATGTGGAGTTACTATTGTTGCATATCACAAGGACCCTGTAGGATGATGTTGAGTGGTTCCCAAAAATTGCACGAGGAGTTTTTGTTTCTTTTAAGCCCTGCAGTAGAGCTGAAAGATCTGAGCACAATGTTTGACATTGTTTCATGTCGCTGATGCGATCCCAGCTGCATCGAAGAGTCTTTGGAAAAGCAAAATAAAGTACTCTGTGTTGTTAGTCATTTATGTATAAATGGATCTGACGCACGGGAGAATGAGTTGTGTGCTCTATCAAAGATCTTCAGCCGTGTCCAAAATCTTGGATGTGTATAATAAGCACTTTAGGTGGAACAAATTAATGAGATACCCATTAATTGTTGGGAATGTGCTTGGAAATATGATGGGGACACACACACACACTGTCTCTCTGAAATGATGAACAGAATCTATCACTTTGCCTCCTATCCCATATCAGCCACCACACTGTTTGCCTATAGCCCTGAACAGTGTGTTTATTTTGCTTGTGCTATCACACAGTTGGGTGTCCAGGTAATAGCTATACCATTTCTGACTTCTGTACATCTGCATTCATATTGACCTTTTCATTTCAGCGGAGGCTCAGTGTGGCTCAGTGGTAAAGCACCTGATTTGCATGCAGAATATCCCCTGTCCAATCTCTGGCATTTCCAAGCAGGGCTTGGAGAGTACCTAGTCTGAAGGTACCCTGGAGAGTGGCTGCAAGTCAGTGTAGACAATATTGAGCTGACCCAGTATAAAGTAGCTCCCTATGTTCCATATCTTACATATGGAAATTATTGCCTCTTGCATACAGGTTCCTTTCAAGCATAGTTGTTTAAGTGGGCACTCATCACAGTGGAATGGCGATCTGTAAATACGAGACATAAATAAATTTTTCTCT